AATAACATTGCTAAATTTAAAAATACATTATCCCATAATTATTCATCAGGAGGCATGAGAAAATAGTAATTTGGGCTGCTAACATTTAAGGACCACTTGGCGAAAATCTCATTTTTTCGCATTGTGTAATACGCTTTCATCTGAGGGTCCAAATGAGAAATCTCCGTAGTCATTATTTGGTGTTCTTCTTTTCTTATCTCAAATTCATGTTTTTTCATCTCAAGTTCTTTCATCTCCTGTAGTGCTTGAATCCTTTTTTCTTCTCTTTCCTCTTTTTTCTTTTCTTTCTCAGCAAGGTGTTGGTTAAATGTGTCTATTTGTTTACTCATTTTTTGGACTTCAGTTTTAATGACTTGATTTCTCCGAAATAATTCTTTTACAGATTTCCTATCCATCGGCCTTTTACCCCTTGCAGAGACACTGCCCTCACCAACAGTTGGATTGTTACCAACACTTGAACTGGTGTCATCTTCAAGAGAAATGCAGTTATCCATAGGGGAATCGAGGGCTGAATCAGGAGAAAATAGTGTATGTATCCTTGACTTCACCGTATTCGTAGGAGTTACATCTTGCCACCTAATATTGTTTTGCAAAATTGGCCAGCAATGTTCAAAAATAAAAATGTTTGTTTTCATCTTGATGGTATAACAATTTTGCTTGAAGCATCTATATCAAAAAAATATTAAATTAATTAATTAGTTAATTTTTATGTAAGACAAAATAAAAAAAAAAAACTAACATAATAAATAAAAATGAAATCTTACTGTATCAACTTGTGACGCCCCACTTACTTGGATGTAGATTTTCGACTTGTGCTAGACACCCACGAAATTTGTTGCAACATTTCATTATTACACCCCATCGAGATGAGATAGACACTTGTATTCTTGAGTGATCATTCTGCAGCGAACAATAATTTTCAAAAATTCTTCCCCAAAAATGAGTATGCGATTGCGAATTTCCAACAATTGGGTCTTCAGTAATGTGACACCAAGCTCTACAAATTGCCACATCTTCTTCAGTAGTAAATGATTTTCCTCTCTTTGTTTTTGATGAATCTTCCATAGTGATTGTGTGAAAAAACTAAAAATAATATAAGTTCGGAAATTTAATATGAAATCAAATTGAGATGAAGAGAGAAGAAAAGAAAAATGAAATGTGCAATGGTTGCTGTGAAAAAAAATTCAAATAAAGAGTTTCTATTTATAAAAATTCAAACAGATCCAACGGCTCTATCAAATGCCCAAACAGAGCCCAACGGCTTTATTTATAAAAAATTAAGTTCATTTTTTTAAGCCACCCACCCACCCAGCAAATTGAGTTAATTTTTTTTTTTTTAAGCCAAATAGAGCCCAACGGCTCTATCAAATGCCATCCCCATCATCCATGTGTTGATCTTGAATGGTTGAGATGATTTGTGTAGAATCATCAACATTTTCTTCCTCTCCCTCTCACTGTCTCTCTCATTCCTCCTCCATGTCCCTCTCACTCTCAAATTCGTCTCTCACCTTCACTCTCTTCGATCAGTGATGAAGAACATTGAATTTTCTCACTCTCTTCTCCCACTCTATCTCTCACTCTCAGATTCGTCTCTCACTCTCACTCTCACTCTCAGTCTCTTCTCTCTCATTTTGTCTCCCTCTCCCTCCCATTCTCACTATCTCCATATGTCTTCTCTCTCTTCGATCGGCTATCCAGATCTACCTCTCTCTCACTGTCTCACTCTATCTCTCATCTTTTTGTCTTCGATCGGCGACTGTATATGCTCAAAAAGACGATCGGCCACCGATGACGGTATATGCTCAAAAAGATGCTCAAAAACCAGGTATTTCTCATTTTCAGTGAATCTGTTTAAATTTTTTCTGTGAATCTGTTCTGTGAATCTGAATGTGCTGATTTCGGGTAAAATGGTAAATTCCGAATCTGTTTGAATTTTTTTTCCCTATGAATCTGAATTCTGAATCTGTTTTTTTTTTCTGTGAATCTGTTTGAATTTGATGAATCATTTGATGAATTTGATGAATCTGTAATTTTTGAATCTATAATTTTTTCTGTGAATCTGTTTTTTTACTATTTGATTTTGGGTAAAACGGTAAAATGTTGCATTATTCATGAAAATTTTTGGTGAATTCTGAAACATAAAAATGGTGAAACAGTTGTTTGGGAAGGGAGGGAGGGAGGGAGGGAAGGAAAGAGGGAGGGAAACAGTTGGTTTTGACTGAGTTGGCATAAATGGCAGCTGCCAAAGCTTGTGTCAAATTTGACACAAGCTTTGGCATTTCTCAAAATTGGCAGTTACTATGTTTTGCCATCGGAGCATCAAAATTCAACACAGCTGCTATATTATAGCAATAGCAGTTCCAATGGCAAACCATTGGAGATGCTCTTAAAACGGGCTCTTGAACCCCCCCGAGCCATTAATGAAATCAACTCTTTGCTTTTGCTATTTTTCAACCATGGAAAAATTCTAAAAAAAAATCACCAATTTCGGCCATTAAAGCCTCAGTTAAAGACTTGGTAGTGAGAGTTGACAACTCATCATTTCATTGGCGAATTTCCATATCAAGTTGATGAATTTCTCCAATTCAATGGTGTCTTTTTTCTTCCACCAAATAATATTGTAAGGGATGAAAGTTTATTTCATCAAGAAAATGGATCTCTTCTTGAAGATCCAAAATTTTTTGTTTACTCCAAAAGATTTCATCTAGGCTATTTGGAATAGACGAATCCAATTCATTTTTTATTTTTTACACTTGACGTCCCACTAGGCATGCCAAAAATTGTTGGCTTATTTTTCCTACGAAGGAAAATATCATAAATACGAGCATGCTAGTAAGGATTGAAAAATCCTTACAGATTAAATTCAAGTCAATTATCAAGCGATTGTGTTGACGGTTCTTTTGTCTCAACGAAGAGGACTTCAAAATTGCCAAGTGTAGAGAAAATAAAAATTAAAAGAAGAAAAAGGGAAATGGAGAAAGATGATTGAATAAACAATCAAACTAATCATTAATTTATCTCTACTCCTATGTTTTGAAAAAGAAGTGTACAAAATAAAGTGCAAAGAACTTACCTCTACTCCTATGCTTCAAAAATGAAGTGCATAAAATAAAGTGCATGAAATATAAATGACAAGAAAAGTATAAATCAATTGTCTTTTATTTGAGTTCTGGCCCTTTACAATGTAGCCATGAATAGCTATTTATAGACAAATATTTATAGGTAAAACCTACCTAATAACTATCCTATTCTTCCATCTCCTCAACTTCATACTCCATCATCTTTCATAACTTCCTTCAACCTCCATTGCATACTCTATGTTCTCCACTTTGTTTTCTATCATTTTTCCACATTTCATAACTTTTCATAATCTCCAAATGAGTAGGAGTCACATGTCCTATAATTATATAAATAATACATAATAATAAAATTGCAGATTTATGATGCCAACATGATCAAAATATATTTATATATATTGATTGTTTGTAAAATAACTAATTATACTTGTGTTTGAAAAAAGATGAGATTGAATGTAATAAATACTTTTTGTTGATGTACCCAAAAAAAATGTAATAAATAGTATATATTTATTAGTTGAAAATAAAAATATTGAAATCCACAGCAAGGTATTTATTAATTTTTAATTTATCACAAATTTAACCATATAAAAATTAACTCTTTACAACAAATATTTTTCTCAATTCTAATCAAATATCTCAAAACAAATGTTAGAAATAGAAAATAAATAAATAATTCAAATAGAGCATTAAGGATTGGTTTGGCATAAACTAAATAATACAAAAAGTCAAAAAGTCACTATCCTATTTAAGTCACATTATCTTATTTAAATCACATCACCTCTCTAATATGTCACATCAAACCCAACTCAAACCCAACACATATAAGCTAATAAGTTAAAAAGTACACTTTTTTAGAACATTCCAAAGCAACCCTAAAGCTAAATGTGAAATGATCGCGAACAGAATTCATAATCAATATGCCTTCACCTTTTTTTTTTATTGACTTGGGTGACTGTAGTAGGTACACTTTGATGGAGGGTCGAACCCTGCCACACTTGGGTCAAAAAATTCATGGAGTAAAAGTAAAAAAATAGGATATTTACACATAAATTTTAATTTATGAATTTATATTTCATGAAATCTTAACTAAGATTTTTTAAATCTTCAAATCTCATTTAATTTTTAATAGTCAAAATTATCTTTCAAATAATAATTTTTCATCATTTATGATTATCTATAAACAAACATGATAATTTGACATTTATTTTAATTTTTAAAATTTTAAAATATCAATTTTCAAATTGAAAAAACAAAAAAAAAGAAAAGAAAATTGAGAGCAAAAAAAAGAAAAACTGTTTTTTTTTAAAAAAAAATTGAAAAAACTAGATTAAATTTTGTGTCTATAAAGGAGTATGATGATGAAACATTGATGTGCAAAATTTAAAAAAAAAAAAAAACTTTAAAAATGAAAAAATTAATAATGTTCACGGTTTTAAAACTGAAAAAAACTAATAATGTTATCGATTTTATTATATAATTGAATTAAACTAATAAGTAAAAGAACAAAAATGTTTAATCTCATACTCTGGTTAGTGAAACAATTATTTAGTACATTACTATGTGAAATTGATAATGTTTTTAATTTTAAAAATTGAAAAAAAATAATAATATTCTCAATTTTACCAAATATGACTTATTGACTCCAAAAATCTTAAATAAGACTTAAACTACCATAACATTTGTAAATAGTACTTTTAAGTAATTAATTCAAAAAATTATTTGTTTTGATGAAGAGTTAAACCGTACTATATTTGTTTACGCTATTGTTAGTTGGAGAATTTGAGAAGTAATTTGAAAACAAAAAGAAAAAAAATAAATGAAATGAGAATAAAATATATTTATATTTTATTTAATTTCACACACTTTCTTACTTTTTATTTTCAAATCCCCCCTCAAATTTCTCAAGTAAACATAGCATTAGAATGGAAGTAAAAGGGTATTTGTACTCCCACAACGAGACAATACATACCTAAAAGCACTTTATTAGACCCTCACAATTTGACAAACTATATAATTCTCAAACTCAGTTTCTAGCTTCTACCATAAAAAAATAAAAATAAACATATCCAAACAAGTCCTAAAGGATTAGTAAATATTAAAACAATGTTTTTCACTGTAAACAATGGGCCCTACCTAAGGCTAAAGTGTACATATCTTAAATCCCACCGGACTAGTTGTTTAGTTTGCAAGAAGCATGATCCTTCATACACCTTCCATCACCAAAACAAACCGAATTAAGCCTTCTGTCCCATTCAAGTGAGGTTGATTAGATAATTTTTTTTCATCATTCTGCTCCGTCAAGGACAAATATGCTCAGTAGCCCAATATTTGATCAGACATTGGCGGAAGATACTGCTTCCATAGATTCCTAACATCGGGTCTTATGGCACCACCACAAGATTCAGAATAGATGTTTCTTCCCCCATCATACCTATGAATCCATCTTTTATAATTGATGTCTGGTTTGAGATGTCTGTTGTAAAGTGCAAGTGCAACTGCTGGATTTGGACTGTCTCTACATATGAACCAACTCAAGTTAGAATCACAATTTGCATAACTTCCAACTTTCAGAATCACAAGAATCCATGACATATTACTTCAATTTTTCTTTTGCTAACCCCCCCTTTTGGACTTCAGTTCCAAAAAAAAAAAAAGTAAAGAAAAGAAAGAAAGATAATTAACTATTGCTATACTTATCAAGAAAGCATCATTCTACAAATTACAAATACAGAATCAGTAATGTTTCCTAAAAGGGGATAGACACATGGTCTAATGGCAAGATAAATAATACCTGTTTTCTCTTTCTTTTGATTAGTAGCTCATAATATTATTTTGTTTTTAGACTTTATTTTTTCGTTTGGTCACCAATCCCCTCAATTCCTAGCAAGAAAATGCAAGAATGAGATGAAAATGAAATAAATCCATCTTGATTCATGCCTAGACCCCAAGAAAACTAACACCATCAATTCATTGTAAAATAAAACTCTTTTTTATTTTTTATTTTTTATAAGTAATTGTAAAATTCAACTATCACACTTAATAGAAGTGAAATTCAATTTTCAGAAAGCAAAACATAAAGCCCACTCTCCAAAATTTTGTGCTTAGTTCTTTACCATGGTGTTTCTCAACATTTAACAAAGGTTTAATTGTTTTCCTTTTCACTTGTTAAAAACATGAGAAACAATGCTATGGTAGTGAGCTAAATTGTCTATACACTATTAAAGAGCTCCACCTTGAACACATTTTCTCCCTTACCTTAGGCTAATCAGCTCTCTTCCTCATACACTAATGCTTGCTATGACCCCTAGATATTGCAATTAAAATCAAATATTTCAAGTGAATGCCGTCATATTCCTCTCAATTCAACTAGAATCAACACTTGAGCAAGGAAAGCCTACTTTTCAATTGGGCTGATCTACTACCTTGCGTAACACATCTAGGACAAATCTTATCGAAACCAAAACTTGCTTCGCAGCCAAATATCAACATTTTAAGTGAAGCACAGAAGGCCTATGAAGAAAAAAGGAAAAGCACTTTAAACAATAAGAAAGGAAAAGTAAAATGTGGAACCTTTCACTCTTATTCAGAACTTTACTCCACCACAGGATGGCTTCCAAGAGATTCTTTTCCAGCCTACTCCCATCAATGAAAACCAGACTTAAGTCTGGCATACAAGCTTCTTCTGAATAAGGAGTCCCAGAGACCCAAGGATTTGAAGCTGATCTCTGAATAGCATCTAAGACATCAAAGTTAACATATGCAGATAGTCGTTTAGAGCAGTCTTCAGCAACTGCGATGGCAAATTTCTTTAAGTCAACTCCAAGCAGTTCCTCAACTCCTCCCTGACATAGAACAAGCTAGATCATTTATTGCTGTTGGTGATTTTTCTTTTCTTTTGACAAAATAATACAGGATTCTCTGAGATCCTAATTTAACTAGAAATGTAATCTACCAAAGAGTCCTTGCCCATAACCTCATAAACTACACCAATATAGATTGCATAAGCATGTGATATTTAATTTGATCATGAATGTGCTACCAACTAATCTAGTCAACAAATTCATCTGTAGAGTAGGATAGGGAGATTGTAACTTGGAGGTGGATTATGCCTCTTGTGAAGGGGTGGTGGGTTTTAATTTGATCATCAATGTGTTACCAACTAATCTAGTCAACAAATTCATCTGTTGAGCAGGAAAGGGAGATTGTAACTTGGAGGTGGATTATGCCTCTTGTGAAGGGGTGGTGGATTTCTGAGTGGTTTTATGGTGGGTTGGGTAAGGAATGTGCAAGATGAAAGGTCCCAAAGACCCAAGAAAGCTAAGGGAAATAAAAATAACAAAATTTGAGTATTTACATGGAGAAACCTACCTTGAAGATTACATTTGTTGAGACATATATGAACTTGCTTAAGGTAGGGTGGACAGTTGGTATAACAAAAGGAGCCATCTCATGAAATGAGGGCCTAGGATATTCTCCCGCAGAATAAGCTGCCATGATTTGTCCTTTAACTTTCTCCTGCCTACATTTTTGCATGAATACAATCAAATCCATAAATGGAACCCTGACAGGCTATGGCTTAGCCATCAACAAATTCATATATAAAGCCAACAAATAAGGCCATTGAAAGGCAATAGCTTACCAAATAATTTCAAGGTTTGAATGTGGAAATAGCACTTTAAGTTTATAATAGGAAACTTTGTCATCATGCCCTTCAGGGACAAAGAAATGAAAAGAAAATAGTTCTGGATATCTACAATCCACATCAAAGAGATTAGTAGACAAAAGAACAAAGATTTGTGCAGTAGAATCAGTACACCCCCTAATAATCTGTTACTTGCATTACATTTTGTTGAACACAAAAAAAAATTCTACCTAGTATGAATGTCCAAAATGAATTTATCTTTTTAACATCGAGAACCATTGCTGCATGAAAAAGTAAAGTGTGACAATCTCCAGAAGACAGCCATTAAACCTTCAGCTAAAACCACCAGAGTACTTCTGGCTGATGCAGAAATTTGTGGTAAAGGTGTTTCTGAATTTTCAGCCAAATTGAAATAGCTATTTTGTTTTTTTTTTTCCTTATAACTTTTGGCTAAATTTGTGAAGTGGATAACATGGCATGGGATTATAATAAACCAGCAGTCTTTTTTTTAATTTTAATTTTAATTTTAATTCCAATTCCAAGTACTCCACCATCTAGCTGAATATTCAGACTTTAGAGCATCTGTTCCAATTTATGATTTTAGGCCAATCTTGATCCAAATATCACTCAATTTACACAAAGATTTCATGAATTTAGAGCCATGAGCATTGATGTCTCTGGCCTTAATGAAACAATGATGTTCATGAAATTGTGATACATTCTCGTTGCATTATCGTTTTAAAAGGAAATTATTATTGATCATTAAATGTTGTCAAAATTATGAAAAACGTTTCTTTTCACTCAAAGTTCTGCTCCTTTAAAATCTATCTAGGGAATCCAAAATATGTGAAACTTTGAAAAGAATAACATAGAGTATTTGAGAATGCTACTTGTAGACTAGAGTTAAGTAATAAAAATGGAAAATGCAAATAAGGTAACCTGAAATCCCTCACTCTGTGCCTACTGTTGAGGTTCTTCCAACCATTTTTTAAGGCAAGTGAAGTTCCATGTATTAACCCTTTTCTTCACGTCATAACATGGAATTGCCATTCATATTTCAATGTGTCTAGATCAAGGAAAGGATCATCACTAGACCATCCAAACAATTCTATTCAATAGATCAATCCATGAAACACTAGCCTCCTAAAACTTATTTCGGTCTTTTGTATTTTATTGAATCTTTTGAATACCGTCAGCCTTATGATGAACTTTTATTGATGAAGCATCTATATTAGTCGCTAAATCTCGTCTAGCAGAACTGACACTCAATCAGATTGATCTACACATGATCATTTTTTCAAAGTTTAAACTATCATTGTAATGCTAAACTTAGCTACATAGTAGCTAAAATTCACATGCAATAACATAAGAAAAAAATTACAAAATTTCAGAGAGGATGGGCAATTGCACCCTCTGGACTCCCCCTCTTCCACCAACATGAGTGGGAAGTGGGCACATGAAGAACAACAGTACCAATACCCTCAGGTCCATGCCTACATAAGAAATGGTTCAACCCTCAATGGGGTACAAATCAAAGAAACTCAAGGAACAATTAAGCATGATTTGGGGAAAAAAGAAGCAAAAAACATAATGATTGTGATACTAGTATGATCGAACAACTTCTTAATGATTAAATTTTAATTTTTAAAGGAAAGAAAGAGAGAGACGTAGAAGAAAAAGAAAAGCTTTGAAATTTTTTATTTATTTCAAAATCATTTGCATTATTCACACACAAAAAACATGGTCATGGAGGTAAATGTCTAGCAAAAAATGTCAGTTGACATCTCTTTTTTGGCTTCCTTGCATTTTTTGCATCACCTTAATGCTTTTTTAAAAAAGTCTTCTTATTCATCAAAAAAAAATAAAAAAATAAAAAATGTTAGTTGACATTCTACGACTTCATGTTGTATTTAGTTCATGGATTTGGATAGAGCTTTGGAAAGGGTAAGGGAAATGGATCACATTTGCCTTACATTTTCCCTTTCCAAATCCCTACACAAATCTATGATCCAAACACAGCTTAAAAGATTCATCACAACAGTTAGTGGCACCAAACTAGGAGTAACACCCGTTGCATTAAAAAATAACCCTTTTTCAATTAATCTGAATGGACTTAATGGACAAATAACGATCTTCTGAAAATGTACATATTGAAGTTTTCACCCATCAATTTCTCAATTATTTATCCACCAAAAGAGAGGGTATTCATGCTACTTTCAAAAATATTCATTCTAGAATAATTCATAAATCAGTATTGCCTAGGGAAATGCAAATGAATGGGGGGGAAAAAAACTTGTAACTCCAAGATACACATGGTTATTTGTGTTAAACATATTGAACAGACCTTGAACTGGATAAAGTAGAGTTAATAAGAACCGCAAGAACTTGAAGGTCCAGACAGTCCATCCATGATACGATGTGCACCATTCCATCTTCTCCACCATGCGCTCTAACGTAACCAGAATTTTCATCACTTGAAGCCTTAGAATTGGTAGACTGTAAATAGTATAAGACTTGGCTAATTAAACAATACAATCACTCTTGGAGATCAATGCATCAATATCAATCAAAAGACATAGTAAAAATAATAAATTTCAATAAGCTTTTATGTAAGATAGAACTAAACGTAACAGAAAGTCAACAACATGGTTGATAGGTTGTAGCGATATTATCATCATTTTCACATTTCAGAGAGGAGAGAAATCTGTCATATGCTAATACATTTTAATAAAGATTAATGGTTAGATGAACTCTCGACATCTCTTTCACAATAGGGTTCTACTATATTCTGCATTCTTTGTTGTTTGTTTATCACTAATTGTTTATTTATTTTTTATTTTTTACTACCATTTTGTTCTTATTGATTCAATTTGTAGTAGCTCCTTATGCTGATAGTCAATTATTGCCTTGTCCAATGTTTATGGAAAAATAAAAGGAAAGAAAATCCCTTGTCTCGTGGTTATACCAAAGGGCAAGGTTGATTCTATGGCTCATGCCACTACGAAATTGTTTGGCTCTATTGAACTCTTTCTGATTTAGGTGTTCTTTTTCATCTCCTACTCATCTCGATTTCAGAGGTTTTTTTTTTTTTTTTTTTATACTTGTGAACTTGAGCTTCAAGGTTATTCTGATTCTGATTAGGCTGGCAAAAATCGCCGCTTTACCCCAAACGTTTGCATTTTTCTAGAAGACTTCATGAGATCAGGAAAACTGATTAGGCTGGCGAAAATTGCCGCTTTACCCCAAACGTTTGCATTTTACAGACGCACTTGCTACTACTACATTTGAAATTATATGGATTTGTTGGTTGCTGCGTGACATGGGTATCATAATATCACATGCTATGCCACCCCTCTTTTTGTGATATAGTAAAAGTGCTATGCATATTGTTCACAATAATATATTTCAGAGGGAACAAAAGACATTGAAATAGACTGTCATCTTGTGATAGTAAAATATGTATCTTTGTCAATATCTATTAAGAATTTAGAAACCAGAAAAGGATTATCAGGGGTTGTGTTATTATTATACATCTGAGTTGAATAGAGTGAGGTGCACAACTAATTATTACTTGAGCTCTTATAATTACATAAATTTAATGAAAATTTGGAAAAATTATTGACCCTTGTGTTTGGTTACCAAGAAATAAAACATAGACAAGTGTATGGAAAATTTGAAGAGAGAAAAGCAATAATTAAGAGAGAGAGAGAGAGAGTAACTTACAGATGAGGAGGAGGGGGAAAGATTGGAAGGAAAAGGGAGCCATTCTCTGAGGGGGTCAGAGGGGTGTCGGAAATGGGTAGCAGGCAGCAGGAACTGGAGGAAACAGAGAAAGATGATGAACCCAAAACCCACCCACTGAAATATGGGCCGTGGATTCGGAGCCGGATCTACCGCCGGCCTGAGGAGGTCTCCGGAAGATGGTGTTGTAGTGGTAGTAGTAGAGTCGTTTCTTCTACGAGCTGCAGGCCTTGACAACGGGAACGATGATGTGGAAGACGACATTTTGACTTTTCCCTCTCTCCCTCTCTCTTAAATCAAGGAAGGAGACGCGTGGACAAGTTATTGGGAATTTCTATTTGAATAATGCTATATGCCTCTATAATTAGTACATTAATTGATAATAATTTAAGAGATTTTTAATATTGATAGTGTTATATATATTAATTAGTGTAATAATTAATGTATTAATACTAGTTATGATATTATTATTAATTTCACTTATTAATCACATTATAAATATCAAAAACTTCTTAAATTATACCGTATCATCAACTGGTACACTAGTCGGTACACTAATTAGTATATATAGAATTATTCTTTTGATATTTATAATTTGTATAATCAGTGGGATCAATAATAATGTCATAACTAGTGTTGATGCACTAATTAGTACACTAATTGGTGCATGTAGCACCACCAATTCTATTTTCATATACCTAGTTAGCTCAATGTACACACTTAATGAAATATTAATTTAATGACAATTATATTTTAAATAAAAATGACCATAATAAACATTCAGTAATATCCATAATATTATATAAAAAAAATTCATTGTACATATCGTTTACGAATAAAAAAATCTCAATGTACATGACACCCAAAAAGAATTATAATTTCGAGTTGAGGGAACCTCCTGCAATGCAAACAAATTTATTTACTCCATAGCAAAGCAAGTCAAGAATTGTGAGCTTTGGAAGCTTCTCCAATGACCACGTAGGACCTTTCCACCATTCTCTGTCCATTCAAGGAGAGGTAGTTGAGATTTGGCAAGAATTCGTGCATCTCTGTTGGTAGCTTTCCTATATTTCCATGTGACTTCAATTGGAGGAGGTGCTGGCAATAAGAAGGTGATTGCAGTGTAGGATTCCAAACAGTGCCCGCACTCACAAATAGATATAATGTTTGGAAGCTTCTTAATCTACTAATAGAGTCTACAGTGAACCCGTTGCTTTCTCCATTCAATTTTACATAAAACTCGCGAATATTGATTAAATCTTTTAATAAATTAAACTCCATTTGGTCATCAACCTCAATTCTGTTTAGAGATTGAAGGCTTGTTAGGTTTTCCACTCGGAATTACGTAATTGAATTGATTTGTCAAATTTAGAATACAACCATTAATATTTTTGTTTTTATTTGGAATTTATCTATCAAATTAGCAAACATTATTTGGAAGTAAATTTCCAAAATAAGCTCCTAATTTCGGAAGGCCAGGACTGAATCTCAAACTTGCAAAAGATGGAAGAAAAAACAGTGATTTTGATGGCAATGGAGTGCATAGATGTCTGGAAAATGGTAAATGTAATAACAAAATAGTAAATGCAATAACAACATGGAATAATGCCTTACCTTCAACAATGCAATGGAGTCTCTTTAATGGTGCTGCAATGGAGGTCTTCAATGGAATAGAGGCCTTCAATAGAGCAAAGTTCTTCACTGTAGATCTTCGCTTTGACTGTTATAGCACTGTGGGTCTATAAATTTCCTAATCGTAGCAGTAGCAGTGTGTGTGGAAAGAGGGACAAGTGTGTGGAAGGAGGGTTGAACGGGTGTGTGTACAATGGTATGAGTGAAGGGTATAATTGATACATTTAGTGTGTGGATTGAGAAAACTAATTAATAACTAAATTATAAAAGTGTGTACTGAGAAATGATGTGGATTAAGATAATTAAGTGTGTGAAAATAGAATTTTTTCAGGTTATTGGTTTGTCTTGGGCACCGCAACATGTGCCCAATGCTATTCATTGTGTTTGATTTTGATTTTTTAAATTCAGTTTTTTAAAAATTAAATTTTTTATTTTTTTGTATTTTTTTTTGGTGAATATTTTTAAAATTTAAGTAATTTTTTTAATTTTTTTAGATACACCTTACTTAAATATATCTAAATAGTAAAATATTTATGAAAAATTATTTTAAAAAAGTAATAAATACAAAAAAATACGAAAAACATACTGAATTTCAATTTTTTATTTTTATTTTTGGTATTTAATGAATTTTTAAAGTTTTTTTTTTCAGAAATGCTATATTTTTTAAGTGTATTTTTGTTAAGTGTGTTTAAAAATTTTAAAAATTACTTAAAATATTAACAAAATTCAATGAAAACAAAATAAATAAATAAGTAGAATTTTTTGAAAAGTGTTTCTGAAAACCAAAACTAAACAAGTTGATTGTGATTTGTGGAGTATTGAGATTCATGAATTGGTGTTGGGGAGAAGTTATTAATTAGTCTTAGAATATTATGTCATTCTATTTATTGAAAGGTAAGTATATAAATCTCTTAAAAAGAGATAAAAATATGAAGAATCTCATTGATTTAACCAATAACCATTAACGTAAAACACCACCTCAACTCACTCTAGGATTAAATAATAATTTTTTGATATGGAGTAATTAAAAAATATAAAAATATATGATAAATCATGATAGGTGGAAAACCATGCTTTGGTGACATCACTGGGCTTACCGATAATTTTTCGACACCGGTGGCGCAGAAATTAACTCACACACGCTGTCCCTCCCTCAGTCGACATATCAACTACAAAGTGGGGACACTCCGCTTGTCTATAATTTCTTGATAAACTATTAAAAAATATTATTTTATTTTTTTTAATTATAAAAATATACAAATAAAATTTATAAATTATTAAAAAGTATTACTTTATCTTTTAAATTATAAAAATGTATAAATAGATTTTCTAAATTATAAAACTATAAAGTTTCGTTTGGCATTGACTATGATAATTAACTTTTTTGTGTTAAGATTTTTTTGAGTCCGGATGCTCTCCAGCCAAAGGATCCCTCCGGTCCTCCGGTCAAGGGCCATGATTTGGCCATGTGGCCCTTTGAAGATCTACGGCTCAGATTAAAAAAAAAAAAAAAGGAATTTCCTTTTTCACCAAAAACTTCTTCTTCAAATCATCTAAAAAAAAATCTGAACATCATCAATATCATTTCAAACTTAATTGATTATTCAGATCATCTAAAGATGTTCAAATTTTATCAAACGCTAAAAAAAATCTTCAAGATCAGATTTGAACATCAATCTTAATTGATAAAATTTGAACATCAGCTTCAAACTTCAAACTTCAAAATTTGAACATCAATATCATCTTCAAACTTCTTCAAACTTCAATTGATTATTCCCCTCAACATTTCAGTTCCGTTTTTTTTAAAATTGATATTTTCAATACAGATCTGTGAGTAAATCTGTAAAAAAAAAAATCAGATTTCAAATCTGCATAAATTTTTTTTCTTGAAGATCATCAATATCTGCAGAATTTTTTTTTAGTTTTGATGCAGATTTCTGTGTTCAAAAATCTTTGAAGATCATCAATATATATTCTTAAAGATCATCTATCCATTGTTTTTTCAGAAATCTGCATATATATTCAGATCATCTAAAAAAAATCTGAACATCTTCAACATCATCTCCAACACCTTCATCATCTATCCATTGAAGATCATCAAGATCATCTGCAGAAAAAACGCATCAAATCTTCATCATCTTCAACATCATCATCTTCAACATCATCATCATCTTCATCAACAACAAAAAAAAATAAATTCCTCTGCAGATCCGAATCTACAAATCTTCATCATCTTGACTTTTCTTTTTTTTCTTCTTCCAAAATATTTGCATCAGAAAAACGCAGGAAAAAAGAAAAAAAAAATGCATCCTCTGTTCTTCTTCCATTTCAGAGAAACGAAATTCTTTTTTTTATTTTTTTATTTGAGCCGTAGATCTTCAAAGGGCCACGTGGCCAAATCGTGGCCCTTGACCGGAGGACAGGAGGGACTTTTGGCAGGAGAGGATCCAGACTCGATTTTTTTAGCCTTGTTTGGTTTTTATTTTTGGACTTTTTTTATTTTTATAAGAGAAAAAAGTGTAATGATTATGATTTAGATGTGACATTTTATTTTATTAACTTATATAACATATTTTGTTTTTTTTTACCTTTTTAGCCCCAAAATATTTATCAAACGAGGACTCAATGTAAATAGACCTTCTAGATTATTGATGTGTTTTATTTTGACCTATTCCATTAAGGGGTCCAATTGATAATTTTTAGAGTTTAAAGGGTTTATTTTTATATTTTTATAGTTTAGAAGGTCAAAATGATACTTCTCAATAATTTAAAGAATCTATTTGTATGATTGTATCGTTTACGAGTCAAAATGATATTTCTCAATAATTTAGAGGGTTTTTTTTTTGTAAATAATCATAATTTACAACTACATGAAAAAAATCATACCCAAAGTTTCATATTTTTAATTTAGGTAAATTATGCTAAAAAAAATATAATTAATTATATATTTTTAATATAATTATATAATTTCTTTTTTAGTATGATTAAAGTGATTGAAATTAATACAAAAAGTGAGTAAATATTAAAATAAATAAATGAAAAATATATATAAATAAAAAATAAATGATAATATTAATTTTTTATTTATATGGCTGATAATTATTGATGAAAAATGTCTAACTGTTATATAAATTAAAACTTTTAAAAAAACCTAATGTAATAAGGTTAAAAGTGTAGAAGTAATTGTATTTTTCAAATATCAAAATAGATGAGTGTAATTTACCTTTTATTTTTTTATGAAATTATAACTTAATAAAAAATTTGATAAATTTTTAATTTCATAAAAAGTATTTTTTTATTTAATAAACATTTAATGAAAAGTACTTTCTCAATCCCAAAAAAAAAAAAAAGCATAATTTTTTTTTGAGAATTAGACTATCTTCAATATTTTTTCGTAAGACTTTTAAATATTAATTGGAATGATCTAAATAAATAATATATTTTTAAATTTTTTATAAAAAAATATACAATATAATAAAGAGGTGTTGTGACTTAAATAAAAAGTGATACGGCCTAAACAAGATATAGTAAAAAAAATATACTAAAATAGTGTATCTCAAACAACCTCTTAATTTAAAAATAATATATGAAAAATTACATATATATCATTATTTTCTATTTTCAAAACAGAAATATTTAAGATTTTAAATTTTTTTTTTCACAATAATATGATTTAATAAAAATGTCCATTTTTAGTTGATTATACCCTCAAATTCACCACCTTTACTATCATTGTAAATGTATTTGTATCTAGCATTGTTGTTTTGTTTCCAAGGCGAACAAAACCGGAGGACTCGAAGAATTTTCAAAGGGAAATCCTTTGGCTGCTAGGTTACGGTAAATGTGGATGTACTAACAAAAACTTTCCTCTGCTGCCATGGAAACCGCTTCCTATCCAATTCTGCACACTCCTCTCATCATCAACAACAATTGCAAATTCCATGAATTCCCCAAAAACCATTTCCATTTTCTCCCTCTATTTTCGTCTGCTTTCTCGAGGAAAGTCAATTTTCCCGGCAAAAGTTTGCAGTTCAAGCGATTCACGGCCTCGTGCTCTTCATCCAGCTCTTTTGAGCAGAACCCATCTCAAGACCTCGCTGTTCTTCTTGAAGTTGAAGGGTGATAATCTGATTTTTGGCTACTGCTATTTGCATCCACACAATACAATTTTTATTGCATCATACTCAAGTTTGATTGTTTAGTTTGTTGTTTATTTTTGGTGCATATCGTGCGTGTTCCTTTGGTACATTGGTTACTTTGGTGATACTAATTTTGTTTCATTTATGCATTTTATTATATGTAAGTTTGTAATGTTTTGATTTTCTGTTTATGTATATTACTAAATTCTTAATAGGTCTATATAATGTTTAGTTGCATAACCCAGTTTTTAGTTTGTTTTGTATGCTAAATTAAACCAAATTAAGCTAAAAGCCTAGTGTCCCAATCAATTAGCATCAGCTAAATTAAATGGCATTAATTTTTCTTTGATTTCTATCTGTGTCGACCTTACTTCTCTTTTCCCTTTATTTGTTCCTTCTCCTGGGAAACAAACTCTAGAAAGCTTCCTAATCTGGGAAGTATTTATGAAAAATGTTAAGAATCTCAAAAGTTTTTTTCTACTCATGTTAATCCTAAACAATGGATATTGTGGCTGCAGCAAAGTTGGTGAAATATTTTATTCAATGGGTATTTTTTTTTTTTTTTTTTCCCTTCTTTTCCTTCTAGTGCTCACCACTTCAGACTGATCGGCAACTAAAGAAAATTTTCTCAAAAAAGAAAATGAATACAACGAGAGGACAAGATGTCATCTACAAGCATAGGTTAAACATGACTGAATTATCTTATACAACTTTCTCTCTCTCTCTCTCTCTCTCTCTCTCTCTTTTCCTTCTCCCTCTTTGGTGCAACCTCTAACCTTGAACAATCATTTATACATTTTTTGTATTTTCAGTTCTACATTGTAGTCCCCTTTTCTCTTTGTTCTATAAAACTTACACATCAGTAAAAATGATGTTTCTAAAGAAATACTGTGGAAATTGAAGTGAAAGAAAAAAATACAGCCAATATTGTTCTTTCTTGCTTTTGTTTCATTTTCTCTTGTAGCATAGAGACTTTATCAAAACAATTATATACTCAATGCATATCAAAACAATTATATACTCAATGCATAGGGTTAATATTATTAGTATTGCTTGAAGATTTTTCCCTAATGCATTTCATTTTGTTCAGGGTCCTAATGGACGTGTATCGCTTGGGCAATCGCCAAGCCTTCAATGTAGGTGCGGTGCAGGTGTAAATTTATAGATTTTGATTGAATTGGTTTAAATTAATGATGCATCCAAAATATCACAATTAGTTGGCGACTATATCTTATGAATTTGACTCTTTTTTTTTATTTAATAATGTCAGCATTTCGAAAGCTGGGGCTGGACTGTGCAAACTGGACCGAACCTATCTATCTAGACCTTCTAAGGTGTGATTTGTGTGATGTATAGTAGATAAACTGTACTTCAAACCATGGGTTTTTTAATCAAGGTTCTACTGTGCTCAAGACAGAAATTCTAATGACAGCAGCAGGAAATGATTTTGACCTTTGCAAAATTCAAATGAGTTGCATCATATGACTTCCTACTGTTATGTGCTAAGTGCATTGACAGCTGAAAACTAAGAAGTACAGACACTTCTAAGAAGGTGGTGAATCATGTTAGACACTGACACGACATCTATTGGATACATATGCAAACATGTCCCACTATTGTTTAAAATTTTATAGACTCGGATATGCTTCAGACACTCGGGGAACATGTGTATTGCTTAGACACACACGGAACACATTACAAGTTTAAATAAAATAACTTGGAATTTAATGATAAAAAAAATGTAAATTTATACATATTCTCCTCTTTTAGATTTTAGAAATTTGTGTTAGATTGCATTTTGTTCTTATCATTGAATTAAATATTCGTATACACCACATATAATAATTGGTTATTTTTATATGTGACATATAATAAATATATAAAACTATATATTCTGTGCATGCCCCGCGTGTCGTGTCTTACATTTTTTGAAATTTTGTTTTGGCATATCCATGTCGTGTCACATGTCCATGTGGCGTGTCCATGCTTCTGAGGCTGAAAGTGATTTTATTAAACACCTTACTATTATATGTGACTCACATTTTCTTTCTTCAAGTTGAATCCCACTTTCCCTCTCCATTATAATTGTAGTATTGGACTTCTTCAGCATTCTTAAATCTTAATGTCCATTGTATGTTGTTAGTCTTCTTGTAAATTTTTGTGCTTATTTCTTTCTAGGAAGAGTGCTAGTGATGAGGAAAGGATGTTGATCTTGTATTTTAATAGGGTGAGTTCATATTTATTTTCAGGAAAAATCAAAACCTGGTAGATATTACTTACAAAATCCTTGCAATTTATTTCTTTCTTTTTATAAGATTTGTCTCCTACTGCTAATTCCTTATGCAGATTGGTTGGCCTACTTCACTGCCCACAAGTGAGAAGGGATCATTCATGAAAAGTGTTCTGCGAGAAAAGGTATACCCAATAATAATCAGCAAAGATGTAGCAGATAGGATGTTTTGACTTGATTAATTGTTCTAAACATGCCCTCTTCTTTGGTTTTAGTCACATTCTTGTCAGATTGTGTGTCTCTTCCTATTTTTCCACATTATTAATTGTTATAAACTTCCTTTTTCTTTTGGGGTTGAGGGCGTGGGCTGTGGAGTGAGCGAATTTTGATAAGATCCTTATTATTAATATGGTGAAGTAAAAAATTTGAAACTTGTGAATTGTGATCATAAAGAAATCCCAATCAACATTAATGATTTTTTTAGTTTATTTATTTTCATAAGAAAGTTGAATTGATGAAGCTCTTCAACAATAAAATTATGAAATAGCTCAAAGTCAAATGGGAGTACGAAATTTTGAAATTCTTTTAAATTTGAAATAAATGTGTAAAACATTGTAAACCAGCGTGCATACAATACATAACATCGATCAAAAACACGTAATCCATTGCATTTTCATCATATTGCTCTACATGGCAAATTGCATTTGTATTTTTTTTACCAGAGTACCTCATCAAGTACTAAGTTCTTGTTCTGGATGTAAAAAGTACATATTAATTGCACCATCCCATGAAAATATATTCTCTATTGTGATCTATATTGCTTCTGTTAATTTGTTTATCGCTGCTGTCCTTTCTAATCATTAAAATTGTATTTGGTCACTTTAATTTAAATGCTTTCCTCGGACCGACTAAGCTTCAGAATATCATGTCCACTTTCATTAATGTGCTTATGAACCAAACAATTTTTTTGACTTATCCCTTTTTAAAATTAAGATGCATGGAGTTTGGTACTGCAAAATGCTGAATTGTTTGTTAACTGTTGGCAGAAAAATGCATTGGATGATTTGCTGATATCAAAAAGTTTAACCTTAAGACCGGGTGTTGAAGAGTGAGTAGTTCATTCCTCATATATTTAATTCATGTAATCTGATCTGTCACATGTATGCTCATAGCTTTAGCTATCTGCTTTTAAAACTGAAGGCCTCCATTGATTTATCATGGTAGAAGCATAGATGCCTTTCCCTTACATGCTAACACTATAGGTAAGTTTTCCTAGTGCCTTAGTGTTTGTCACGTCTTTGTCCGATACTAAAATAATTTTTCATTATTATACTTGGAGTTTTTTAATTTGTTGATTCAATTGTCTATTTGGTTTAAAAATGCTGAGTTTTCAGGAATTCGATTCATTATATTTTTTCAATAGGGATTGGTTGGTAGTATGCTTGACTTGCATTTGAAACTTGATTTTTTAAAATCAGCAACCAAAAGTAATATTAATACCGAGAAAGAAAAGATTACAAAGGGACGAAGGAGAACAAGATGTCGATCCAAAAGGAAAGGAAAACAAAACCATCAAGATACAACTTAAATTTTATGACCGTTCTCTAGTCATGATTAATTCAATGGCGAATTGTGACTTCACCCTTATGGATCAGTTGTTGAAAAAAAAACTCTGCATTGTGTTTAGTGAGTGTCATTTTGATGTATTAATTTGTTACAGCATTATTAGTATTATGATCACTGTCATTAATACTTTTATTATTTAATCAATCTTCTTTGTGACATCAATAATTTTGAGCATATTTGTTGCCTTCGTTTGCAGTTTTATAGATGATGCATATAATGAAGGCATACCTGTGGTCATCCTGACAGCCTACAGTAAAAGTGGTGATAAAATTGCAAGGTTTGTTATATCACCACCATAGGTGTATATGATGTTCAGTTTTGCAAATGCACACTAGTTATAACTCAAACATGTAGTATGTTTATTGTGAATGATGTGCAGCTTTTATGTACTCAATTCCACATTCACCTATTGGCAATATTGTTCCCCTCTAGGCAGTTTTGTTCTTAGAACCTTCACATGATATATTAGGAAGGAAGTTCAGAGTATCACCTTCAAGAATCCAAAGCATACCCATAAAAGTTATATACATCATTAACCAGCCTAGTACAGCTATACATTTGATTCAATTGCTTATGTGACATTACTCTCTCTTTATCTAGTGTTGGTATCACTTCAGCTGCAATCTCATATGGGTGTTGAAAAGTTCATAATAAGATATAAAAAAACAGAGCCAGAAACCTTTTTTTTACTGGTAAGGGAATGCATTTGTGTTATATCTTAACAAGTTTTTAAAGGAGGTGTGCTTAAAATGATGCATAGACATATTAAATGTATTGAGGTCAGCCATAAGATTCTCAACAGATGAATGCGTATGTAGCTTACTTTTCGTGCTCCTTTCGGATATGATTAGCCCTAGAGTTCGGACTCCTGTGGTTTTGAATCTGGTTTCCCGAGTGCAATATGAAACAGATAAATACAAATGAGTTCAAATCTGGCAAATCTTTTGAAAAATCGATTTTTGAATCAAACATGCCAAAAATAGACCGCATTGCCAGATTTCAGAGTTGCCACCTAAATATTTTTGGGAAATTTAGGAAACCTGTGACTCGTGTCAAAGGCCACGTGCCCGTCATCACCAAAGTGTCTTGGTTTGGAAACTTAGGTATGAGAGGGGAAGGTCATGAATTGAGCACCCCGCTGACCAGATCAAAGATGGGCCTCTACTAATCATGATGTGATTTTTATAAACAGCATATGCTCTTGTTCTGATTTATTATGCTATCTTTACTATGTGATGCACACAAGTATATAGACTAATTCACCCAATTTGGAATGTTTTGATTTCATGTTTGTTTTGAAATTTGTTTTGAATATGCGCCACTTGCAAAAGTGATATCATATATACATATAATCAAATTATTCCAACTTAAGTGAAAAACACCTTCATCCATAGGCATTCAAACTGGTATATCAATTAAGCACTTAGCTTCATAGTAAACATGTTTGATATGGCAACATTAACATACGTGCAATATGCTAAAGTAAGAAATGCTCACTTAGTATTTCAAGGCAAGTCAAATAAAGTCAAAATAATTAGAAGAAATGCATGCTCCTAAACAATGCAATATGACTAATGTGATGCACACATTATGCAAAGAATAAGTTCGACTATTAGCATGGCATGTGTGTCAATTCAAGACATGCAGTATTCGAGTAAGGAATTTGAAATTGACATTAGTTAGTATGATGAGCCGAGCTTGTATGTATGCAAGATAAATGGATGCAAGTCATGGAAAATACTAAGGAAAATATGATGCTACCATTATAAGTAGGTAAATAAAAGGAAGAAAGAAATGAGGGTTGGAAGACATACACAAATTATTATATGTTTTGCCCTTATGCAGGAGGGTCCGAATGCCCAAGTGTCCAAATCAACTACTTATTACAAATTCAAATGAATAATAAATAATTAGCTATTTAATTTATTACAACAATGATATTATAATAATAATATGAACAATAATATTACAACATTAATATATATAAAAAAATAAAAAAAAATGCACAAGGATCGTATGCGCCAATGTTTTAAAAACCGGATCGGTGAATGAACCGGAAAAATGATCGGGTGGACGGGTCACCGGTTCAACCGTCGGGTTGAACCGGAATCGAACCGTGACGTCATAAATATATTAAAATTATATTTAAATAAAAATATAAGTAATAAAATTATAAATTAAAAATTTTAATAATCTTAAATATTTCTCTTAATACTTTTTTTATTAAAAAATATAAAAATATATTTAAAAATATTATTAATTTTCATTTTGGAAGAAGAAATCAAATATTTAATATTCCTTCCATATGATTTTAATTCAAACACTTTGATTGAAAGAAGAGCAAAATTTTTGGAGGGATATCAAATTTTAAGTTTCCCTCCAATGAATTTGATTGAATCCCACATAGATTTCTTGAGTTTTTTGGAAGAATTTTTTTCTTATAAATAGATAGAAGCTTTCACAATAATTTCAAGCTCTCAATGGGATTCCTCACAAGAGGAGACCCTTAAAAGAGAGTTTCCAATTAAATTTTTATTATATATATATATATATAAAATAAGAAAGAAAGAAAGAAAATAAAGAAAATAAAAAAACAGGAAAAAAAAAAAGAGGCCGGACCGGTTCAATCAACCCGTGGCCGGGTCGACCGGTTCACCGGTTTAACCGGTGGGTTCACCGGTTTTCAAAAAATAGGCCGGTTTTTTCAAATGGCCGGTTTAAGAGGGTCGACCGGACCGGAACCCCATCCGGTCACCGGTTCAACCGGTTGAACCGGCCGGTCCGGTCCGGTTTTTAAAACCATGGTATGCGCGCCGATGAAAACAGTCTTTAGAAACTGCTCTGTCTGTCCTCTGGGAATCTACTTTGTTTCATCCTCAGCCACTACCTTTTGTTTCAACCAAAAGTACCCTGTTTACCAAACATTGGAGCCCGGCTAGCCCCCAATGAGGCCCAGCCGGGTCCAAACAAATCCGGCCATGCCCTGTTTTGTTGTAGAAAAATGTCTGTGCTCTGAGGTGAAAACAGTGCAGACAGAGTATTTCTAAGCCATGTTTGTCCTTTCAGCCATTCTCTATCATGGAAAAACTCAAGAGAAAAACGGATTTAGTTTCGAAACCATCAATAGGCTCAAGTTGATTGCTTGATGGTCTTGAACACGTTAGGACAAAAAAAATAAAATAAATGCAATGAAAGGCACACCACCCCTTCCAATCATGAAGTTAGTTCAAGGAGGGAGGTTGACACACCTCAAGAATCATCAAACATCACAAAGTAATTGATGACTCTAGAAGTGATGGATTCGGTATAACGTCCGACTGAATCTAACCAATTTTATTAAGCTTTTTTATGTTGGTTTAATTGATTTTAAGCCGATTTTATTAGCCTTTTCCAACTTACCTTTCCATTTCTTAATCTTTTATTCCATTTTGTCCAATAGTGATATTAAGTCCACTAAGTCCGAAAGCAATGTAAATGAACAAGTATCAACTTAACTCGAGAAATGAGCCTTTCAAACCCTTTTCTTCGGGGGAAATTACAAAAGAGGAATCAAACTCATTTACGAGCGCTAAGGGATTCGGAGTCAAACCCGAAATGAGCAATAATGACTAGTCAAACTCAAAAGAGCGACAATGACATAGCCAAACCTACAATGAGCGATAAAGACTCTAAACCCAAACCCAATAACAAGCTATAATGAAACCTTCTCTTGTGATTTCTAAGGGCCTAACTAGAAAGTTAGTCCCTTAGAAGTAAATACATCGGTGATAAAGAGGAGTGACAAACAAGAGATTGTGTTTAGCATAAGAGAGATGGAATGTCTTGGTAATAAACCTCCGAAGAGATTAAACCATTAAACATGGAGGGCCTCTTTTTTATGCTTGAACAACAACCTTTTATTAAACACAACTCTTTTATCAAAAAAACAAAGAATGGAGGGAGGTAGCAAAGATGATTATGCAAGGTTGATTATTACAAAAGTGGAACTCTTTACATGAAAACTAGGTAAAGAAAGCTATCAACTCGAATGATTCGATATCTAAGGCCTAAACAATCGAAGCCATGGGGACTTACAACACAACAAGTATAATATTCAAAGCATAAACTATTTAAATGAATTAAATAGTCCCTAAACAGCCCCTAAAATGTAAAAAATAGTAGCTAAAATTATGTTTAAAGAGCACAAAAGATAGCCAAAAAATAAGATACAAAGCTAGTAAGTAAAACTAAGGAGGAATGGCTACCCCCTCTACTTTTGGGACTTCTAAACCATATTTTTCAGCCCTTTAAAACTCTGAAAATCAGTATGTAAACCAAAGAAAAGAGTGGGAAAACAAAGGGTATGGGCTATGGGATAAGGTTCAAGAAAGGGTGATAAGCCCCCTCCACCTTTGGTAGCTCTTTAACCCCAAGTATCAGCACTTGGAATTGATCCAAAACAATATGAGAACACAAGAAAAAGATAGAAAAAGATTGAAATGAAAGTAAGGAAAAAGGTGGCAAGCTTATATCTCTTGAAGAGGAAGTGAAAAAGCTTTGGTTGTAAACCAAACTTGATCATAAAGCACTCTCAAGGTTGAATTATGGTTCCAAAGTCTCAATCAAGGCTCCAAGTCTAAGCTCTAATGGTGTATATGATGTATGTATATAGTTCAAGAATGGTAGGATAGCTTAAGTTGACTTGCAAAGGAAGAAGGATCTCTTAAAGGTGTGTTTAGCTCTTTGAAATTTTTCTAACCCTCAAAACAGTGGTTTGAGCCCGTATTTATAGAATTTGAGACAAATAAGTCACAAATATCTTCAAAAATAGATAGCTAGCAGATTCCTGTCTAGAACAGTGTTTATCGCCCAAAAGGCACGGCCGGGCCCCAATGTGGCTTCCATGTTTCTCAGTTTCAGGTTCAATGTAAGTTGGCACAGTGCTAAAAAATGGATTTCTGAGGTAAAAACAGCTTGGATATGGAAGGTTGGGATTGTTTAGAGCTTAAATTCGGATTCCTTTGTTGAGAATTCAAACCGTTTATACAATGTAACTTTCATCATTGAGTGCTCAGAATAAAGTGCTCAAGTCTTGCGGGCGGGTGGTCAAAAATGGATTCTCTACAGTGTAGAAGCTGTACGGTGAGTAATTGTCCCCAAAGGCATTCACATAACACTAAAGAGGCAATATGTTGTGAATTCTTTCTTTTCAGAAAATATTTGGGTAAACTTCCAATAGGTCCTAATAGTTAGACTTAATTCCCATCAAGTCCTATTGAAAATAAGTCTTGGTAAAATTGTCGTTAAAAATAATTTTTTTGTGACAATTTTTTATGTAAGTCGCTAAAAATTGACAATTAATGACTTTTTTTTGTCATGATTTTTATAAATGGTCGCTAAAACTTACAATTAGTGACTTTTTTTATGACAAATTTTTTTGATAGGACCTATTCGACAATAAATCCACTTATTAGGACCTACACGTAAGTACCCCAAAAGATTAAGCCACAAAGGTGAACTGATTACCTAGTCTTGCTACTCTTTCACTACAAAATTCACTATTTGTAAAAAAAATAAACTACCCCTATTATTTCCTGAACCAATAAAATAAGTTAAATAACAGTCTCTGCTATTCACTATGATATGTTTGTTCTAGTATGGATCTGTGTCTTGCTGTCTTTTTCAATTTTTTCCTGTGAGCCCTTTTTAATCCAGTGCTGCGTGCTCTTGGAAAGGATGAACATATGATAACTTTGCTCTCTTGTTTTTTCCTTTTGTGAAATACTATTAGATCCATTGTTGATAAGCTTGGAAATGATAGAATATCAAAGATAAAGATGGTCGGGAATGAGGAGGTGGAGCGGAGTTTTTACGGCCAACTTGTACTTGGTAAAGGAGCATCTTCTAGTATGGATGAGCAACTTGCCCGGGAAGCAAGAAAGGCAGGTAGACTTCCCATCCTGAGGTGGCTTGCAAGCATTTTAAAAAAAAATTCTATTGCATATTTCACTACAAAGGGTTCTGTATTAAAGGGCTTTATCTTTTATTTTTGAGCCAGCTTCTGCTGAGAAACAAAGAATTGCGGAGGAGGTTGCATTGATGCTGAAATTAAGTGTTGAGATTGATACTAGCTCAACTGATAGGTTGGTCCATTTTCTTTTTCTTTATTTGTATTTGCAAATAATTGGAGGAAATCCTTGGTTCCTGTCAATAAATTCATTTTTATGCATTTATTATATGCCATATATATGAATATTTCATTAAAAGATAATAACAATTAAATACAATATAACTCTAATTTTTGAAGTTTAAAGGAGGAATTAATCGGTATAAATCTACATTGTTTTTATTTTATCAAATTATTTTGTTCAAACTTGTAATGTGTTTTATGTGTCAAGTGTTCAAAGCATATCCACGCTTGGAATTTTTTTAAAAATAATATGACATGTTTGAACTTGCATGTCTGACGAGTTGTCGGTGTTCGACAGGGACACACCATCTTTTTAAAAGTATACATGCTGCTTATACTGATCAAATCAAATTAGTTGCTTTGAATTTGGTCACCCTAATTGTGATCTGATGTTTGTGGGTTATACAGCTTACCCAAGATTGTGGCTGCACTACGAGCAGGAGCTGAATATGCTGGGGTCCCTGTCTACAATTGTGTGCTTGTTGCTGGAAGCCAATCTGGTGTTTCTGGAGCTGAACGGATAAGCATGCCTTGTATTGTTCTTCGGAGCAGGTAAGGCCTTTTACAATCTTATAAATGTTGCATTTCATAATGTAATCATTTCTCTTTCCACTTCTGATCTGTCAAATGGTGTAGAACCATAATTTTACATACACAATGACCAGTGCAGCTGTTTAACACCAATTAGTGTCTATTCTTCTTTCAAAGTCAAAATCAACTACACAACTGCAGCATGTGGTGGCACATAACATATAACAACATGGTTATGTCTACATTTTTTAAAAAAAAATTTATTGAGAAGTAAATGGTTACATGAATGCATCAACATTGTTATTTTAAAAAGGTGGATGATGGAGAACATATATGTTTTATGGGACATCATAACTTGGTTTATGTTGTTTGCATAAAAATATGTATATATGTTTTTGATTTTTTATTGATAAGTGAATTGATCCTCGTGGCACAATTCTGATTGACGACGTGAAAGGAAAATCTCACCTTAAACTGTCCCACAAAATATAATTTTGTTCTGCAACCCTCTTTCATAAATTTCTTATATGCCAACAACAGCAAACCTGGCCTGACTTTTTAATTCAAGTCCTGGAAATTAAAAGGTTTGTACATACAATCGTAATTGTCTCCGATGCTACCAGTTAATTGAAAACACTTATTTGATATGTGTTTTCTATAATGAATTTAAAGTTAATGGCTTGAGATAAACAATTGATTTATACATTAGAGAATAAATTGTGAAAGACTGAACACAAGGATAGAATTTTATGGGGATGTTGCTAAAAATGCCTCCCAGAACGCTTAATTAACAGGGATCATCATCATTGGTCATGGCTATTTGATAATTATGGGCCTATGTGGTGGGACAATATAGCATGACCAATACTTTCTGATTTCAAAGAACTTTGATTGCCTGCTTTTTGAATTGTTTGCTATATTCCACGTACTGTGAGCGGTCATATGCAAAGGTTTTCAAAACCCATATGGCCTTTTTTTCTTCGTCTTGTTATGTTCTCTGATTATTTGGGTCAATGCTAATTTATTGCTTATTCATCTTTATTCATGAACTATATAGTTTGACATCTAGGGCAGAGTTCCCTTCAGCAAGTGCAATAATGGACGGCTTTGGTGGTGCGGACCTGACAATTTCTAGACTTCGTAACAAGCGATGGTCCTGAATGTCATTCAAATGCTTACTATTATCATGATGAATGAGTCTCATCGTGAATTGTGTCCAGGCAGGCATTTAACTCTCCCAAACAGGCCCTTCTATCAGATATTTGTTCGTTGCAGACAGCTGCTTCGTCTTTTCTTTTTTTGATTGACATCAACTATCGAAATAGAGTTTCTTTGTATCTTCAAAATACTTCAAACTCATTTAACCATAATAACTATTTCCCCTTTGTTTGGTTTTGTTGTTTTTTTGGGGGTACTGCCTAGAGTTTGCACGTGCCACAGCTCGGAGAGCAGTTGGTATCCCTTTATTTTGAAATTCAAATCACTCTTTTTACCCACTTGGTCCAAATAGTGAGTGTAATAGCTTCTCCTTGATCATACGGAGATGGGATTTCTCTATTTTTGCAGAACAATTCTTGGAAGGAAACTCCTCTTTATCTACATCGTAATGTATTATGGTAGTCTTCGCATTGAACATTACTGGGACATGATTAACAAGAAGTTTGGGAGATTGAATGGAATGTGTGCCACCTTTGTCAGGTCATCTTACAGGAAGCAGATTGTTCTCCTTACTTCTCAGAACGGATGATGCAGGCGGCTGTGTTCCCTTCAATAGCTGGAAATCTGGAGAAGGCCAAGTTTCCAACTTATTAAAGTTGATTACTATAAGCTAAAGTCAAACAAAACTAATTTTTCAACAATACTATTATTTTCTCCAAATATATATTTATATACATACACTACTAGTACGCTACCGCACAGAATCAACTTTAAAGACCAACAAAAGAAGTGAAATTTCTGTCAAAAATTTTATGTCATTAAAACAAAGAAAGGCAACATAGCAGAAAGTATTTAGCAAAATTTTAACATTTCTTAAAACTGAAATCCCAAACTATAAACCCGAACAAAAACAGCTAAACACATCTACAAAATTTGGTCTAAGATTTTATCAGGTCAACAACATTAACATATTTGTTTGATCCACACACAAAAAAAAAAAAAAAAAAAAAACACCAGCACCACTATTAAACAGAGCCACGTCTTCCACTTATTATATCCCAAATTCCCAAAACACTTTAGTAAATCAATTGAATAACAAACCACAAATCGTGAAGCATACGACTTCCTAAACCTCAGCCCATTCCCTAATTTTCCTTTCGAACCATAGAAAGAGAGAAATTATTAAACAGTTTGTTAATCAAACTAAACAAATCTAGAATTGTTGCTATAACACTTTTTTCCAATCTTTTAAAATTTTCTGTCAGAAAATCAGGAATTAATAATTTAATACAGTAAAAAAAAATTATAAAAAAAAACATAACCAGAGAGAACAAAACAATAAATTACATGCAGGACTTACATTGAAAGGCAGTCAACCAACATGTCGGCCTTGAGACAGTAATGCAAGTGATATAAAGGATGAGTCACCAGCTCATCAACCTCTCCTGTGGTGTTTTCCGCTTTAGCAATTTGAATTTGGAGCAGAACACATGAAGTACCGCAGTCTCAATAGCCCAAAAATCTTAGTCGGTCCAAAGGACAAAACTTAGAGAAATCTAGACAAATTTAGAAGGTTTTGGAATATCTTATTATAGAAAAATATAGAAAACTCTACTATATTCTAGAATAATTTAACGAATTCTATAATATAGTGGAATGATAAAAGAATCCTAAAATATTCTTTAAGGCTAATAATGGCCCTTTGATCAAGTTGATCCTAACCATCCATTAAGGAGGTGTAAAACTACGTAAATGGATGACCCCTCATGTTAGATAATATAGAAATGAAATAAGAGTGTTGTCGTAGAGAATGAGAGTAAACTATTGTTAGCATTTTTGTATTCATGTATGTCTGTTTGCAAGGTTCCTCATTTTTGTATCCATATTCGTATGGAATTGATGCTCTAGATCTGAGCTCATCGGCTAGGAAGGTGGCCAAGACCTCAAAACCAGCAAGAACAAAAAGAAAGAAGGAGAAAAATAAAGGCATTTGCACCTGATCAAAAAAAATAAAATAAAAAAATCCCTCATTTGTATGAGGAGCTAGCAACACGATTAAAATTCAGCCAACATAGGCACAAACATAGGTGATGAAAGTAATCACAGAACAATCTTTCCGCAAACTCTTATGTCTTTCTTCCACTAAATCTTCAGCTTCTTCGATTTGCTAGTTGTAGTTGTGATATCATCCTCGCCAGATGGACAACTTTCAATAGAAATTGATAAGAAAATATGAGTTTAGGTTAAAAAAACCTAAACGAGGGAGTGCATATAATTATGGAGTACATGAACAACATTATATTACACCAAATGTGCATTTTGAAACATTAAAAAAAAAAAATAAATAAAAGACAGAAGAAGAAGAAAGAAAAAGGTATCGACATTTTTAGATACTTCGAGCGCATATCCCCAAGCAAGTCACAATGGTAGTAAACCAGCATCATACCACAAATTCTTGTAAGTGAAAACTAATAATCAAAGGGCATAAAAAAGCCCCTCTCCCAACTTCAAAATAGTAAGTTTTCCAACTTATTTAAACCATTTTTTGCCTCATAACTATAAACATAATTAACACCAAACTACACATTCTCAAAATATATATGCACAAGCAAAATCCATAAGCAACACCAAATATGAACATATATAGAATTGAACAGATATTGAATCTCACATTGATCCAGGGATAAGGTCATCTTTCTCATCATCTTTCACATCCAAAGCATAAAGGACAACTTGTCTAACCAATCATAAATATCATACAGGAGGACCATATAACCATTTCCACATATTCGTAATCTAACATGACCCCTTGACATTTATATATTTGTAGCCTAAAAATTCAACAGAACAGATTGCTAAAAAGCAAGCAGTACGGGTTTCTTTACACTCGAAGTGAATAAATAAAGAGATTGAAGAAGAAATGCAGGAGGAGGAGGAGTTCTTACGTTGAAAGGCAGTCAACAAACATAGAGGCCCTGACACGGTAATGCTTGTGAGCTAAAGGATGAGCCACCAGCTCATCAACCACTCCTGCTGCGTTTTCCACTTTAGAAATCTTCAATTTGGAGAAATACACATGAAGCACAGCACCGGCAACATTCCAGAAGTCTAAGCCGGTCCAGATGACAGCTAGCTCATCCCTTCCGTGCGAGACCAAACGTACGCTTGGAGAAGGACCCTCGGGTCTTTCTGCTGGTACCCACTCAAAATCTAAATCATCAGAATATCTATCACCATCACTACAATGAAACGACCTCATAATAGCCATATTCTTGTATCTATCAAAGGGGAGATCCTCCAAACCCTTAACTTGTTTGGGGACGGTTTCACCATTAGAGACAAGCAGAGCATATATCACCCCGGGCGTTGTCCAATCAACATAATACAGAACACCATCCAAAAAGGCTGATGAACTCTTGTTGACGCCAAAATCCCTAGAATATATCCCCCAACATTTATCTTGAACGTCGTAATAGTGTAGGCAAGGATCGAACACAGAATGGACTAGAATTCGGTTCCCACCCTCCAATACTGCATGGCCGGTTACGAAAAGATCCATAGGTTTATCTTCAAGCAACGGAGTCCAACCACCACCCAGGTCTGTATCCAAAACCTCAGCCCAGGGATATGGATCATCCTCGACCATTGCAGATGATCCCATCACGCATATCTTTCCATTCGAGGCTATAGAGTAAGGCGCCTCTCTTGGTTTCATCATAGAAAATGTCTTGTGCCAACCGTTTTCAGGACAAAGAGTATCCAGGTAACAAACATCTTTGAAGGTCTCTGGGACTGGGGTGTACTCAACAGGGACATCGCAACCCCCCATGACATATATCCTAGAACCCACAGCTACGGCAGAAGATTGAGCGAGGTGGTTTGGCCGAGGGAAAATTGGAGACATTATTTGGTTTTGTTGGTCGTCAACAGTGGTGGAATCATCGCTCTTGATCTCGTACCAGTCGTCGCCGTCATCTGTCCTTGCCCGGAAATATATCGGCATCTCCGATCCCGATGTCAGACGAGCCCAAGATAAGGCTTTTATATTCTATGTATTCTTTGTTTTCAGATGGCTATAGAATCTAGGGTTTGGGACAGCAGCAGGATAGCACCAATGATTCTCTAGAGTGAAATTTTTTTAAAATTTCTTAAAGTAGTACATTATGGGGTTGAGATTTACTGATAAGTCACATCAGAAAAATTGATGTGACTTGTCAGTAAATCTCAACCACACAATGTAGCACTCTAGGAAACTTTAGAGAAAAATCACTCTAGAGGATCCTTACTCGCAGGATAGATAGGTAATGAGGAGAGAGTGAATTTATTTTTGTTTGGGTAACAAGAAATTTTTACCTAGGACTGTGTTTGGTTAAATAGTTTAGGGTTTACACGCTCCACTGCAGGATATATCTATCCTTGTATGGGGTCTTTTTGGTTAGTTTTTCTCAATTGAAAATTTATAATTAAAAAATAAAAAAAATAAGTTAGGGCATCTCCTATTTATACTTTCCCTCTTCTTCTTTATTTATTTTTTATTTTTTATTTTCTCATTAAATTTGATTGAAAATTTTATTCTTAACTTAATTTCATTTGGAACATTCGATTTTTTACTATTTTATTTTTATCAAATTATTTCAAAAAATCCCAACTTTAAATAAATAAATAAAAACTTGTTGAAAAATATAAATGTATCTTTAAAATATGTTTTAACCATGTTTTTATGAAATAAAATCATTTCCATTATCCATTCATAAAGAAAAGTTAACCATTCGGCAATGAATAAATCGAATGAAAATGGCCAAGGCACCTATCTATCTTTCCAAATCTGGATGTTTCTCCCAATACGCCACCGTAGCCCTTCCGAAAGCAAATTGCGAGCATTCCAAATACTCCTCCAAGTAAAGAAAAGTTCGCTCCTAATGGAGCATCCAAAATCAAGGACTTAGGGTAGTATTTTGCCTTCAATAATTGTGCCACCAGACTATTAGGAAACTTTAGGAGCCTCCAACATTGTTTAGCAAGCAAAGCTCTATTAAAAGCCGACAAAGACGTGAATCCCATCCTACACTCTTGTTTAGCTTTGCAGAACCAATTCTAATTTTACCAATGGATTTTCCAGTTCTCCTCTATTTGTCCCCACCCAAACCGTGCAATAAGAGCATTCATATTAGATGTGCATCTGATTTTTATTAATAGCTAACTGGGATTCGGTGTCGAGTAAGTGTGCCATCGGTTGTGCAGTCTCAGGTTTGGTGGTGGCCTCCACCGGAAGGAATTTTCAAGATAGATTTTGATTGTGCACGCTTTGCATCGAAAGGATTGATTGGAGCAATAGTGCCAAACCATTATGGGGAGATTATTGTTGCGGTGTCGACGAAATTAACATCTATAGTGGGGGTGGACAAGGTTCTAAAAAATGGTTGCGGTCCCCGTAACGGTGGCGGTGACGCGGTTGCAGTTGCGGGGTGTAAAGGCCGTAGTGTAATGGTTACGGTAATCGGAGCTGTGAATTTTTTTATTTTTCGCACAATTTGAAAAAAACTTATCGATACGCATATTTTTTTCCATGATCATATTTTTTGGGTTAGAAATAAATATTGATCAATTTTTGTAAATTTTTAAGTATGATCCAATATATTTTATATTTTTAAATCACTATAAACTGAGTTTTTTACATTTATTTTAATAATTAATGACTTTATATTATACAAAAAATCAATTACTAACTATTATATATAAGATAAACAATGATAAAAGTAAGAGAATAAATAAGAGCCTAAATATATATATATATATATATATACATATATACATATTTTAACCAAACCAAATAGATAATGACCACACTTATTATTATTATTATTTTCAAACAATATATAGATAGACGCACACAAACAAAATGGTTTAGTGATAGCAGCTGAATAGAATATCATAGGTCTTACAGTTTCAACAAATCGATAACATGTTATTCATCTTCCCTCTTCTCTCTCTCTATCTCTTGCTCCTCCATTTTCTCTCTTTATCTTTCCTTTTTTCTCTATCCCCTTCCCTCATTTTCAGCCTTTTTTTTGTTTGTTTTTTTTCGAAAGAAATTGTAATGACCCCAAAATGCGTAAAGGAAGTCATCCTTATTTAATATGGGGTTAACGTGGTTTAAATCAATTATATCTATTGGAATTGACGACCTTTACTGTAATAATCGAGCGGGGGAGTTGGCGCTCGAGTGGACTTTTGGGGTTTTCAGTAAATTTGCAGGCGGACTGAAATTCTGGGAGTGGTGATTTTCTGCTTGAGCGTAGTAATGGTCGCTCGAGCGGACGGATTTATTGGTCTTCGAGCTTGAGTGCAAGGTTGGGCGCTCGAGCGGGTCGCCTGGTTAAGTTTGAACTTCTGAGGCATGTGGGTTCATTTTTGACATTCTTATTAATGTATTTGGAATGTTCTTACCTTATTTTGGGGTATTGATTGAGATGGTGGTATGATGGTAAAGTAAGATTGGACCAAAGAATATAATTCGGATAGTTATTCTACGATCACCCATCATTCATTTGTCCTTTTCTTTTTCCACACTTTGAATTGGGATGTGAGGTTAGAGCCATTGGAAAGATTATTTCCGGGGGTTCAATTCGGACACAAGAACGACCTAAAACGGAGTCCGGATGGGAGAGTTATACCTGTTTGAAGTTTTGAATTCTGTGCTGGAAGCAGGTACGCTCGAGCGGGAAGATAGACGCTCGAGCGGGTTTTACGGGTCAGCAGCTTAAAAAACGGGATTTTTGGATCATTTCATATAGTTTCTTCTTCCCTCTTCCTTCCTCTCTTCCTAGGTCCGAAAACTTAACCCTCAAACCTTTGATTTCAGCCATTCTCACCAACAAGCCACCATGGATCGTGCATCAAGGATGAGGAAGAAGTGAAGATCAACTTTTCCAACCGATTAGATTGTGGGATTTTCGAGAGGACGCTTTTGACCTAGCTTCTTTGCTTCCAATCTTGAGGTAGGGGGTTCTCTTAACCTTGAATGTTTATGATTCAAAGTGATTTTGTTGACACTTTGGGATTTTGTTGACATTTTGGAATTTTGAGTTGATTATGGGTTAGAAACATTAATGGCTTGTTGTTGATTCACAAATGGGGCTTCTACTCCAATTTTCAAAGGATGTTGAATGTTTTTAGCATATTGATCTATAGTAATTGTTGATTTGAAGATTTAACTAAGAAAGGAGGAAACCCCCAATTTTCTTTAAAACCCTAGGTTGACCCTAGGTTGACCCTAGGTTGATTAATGATGATAACCAATGATTTGGCCCAAATTGAAAGTAGAATAATGAAATTGGTAGGTTGAATTACATATGTACAAGTTTAATTGGAATTTGGTTATACTTGAAAGTTACGCTTAAAATTTGCGAATGAATTTTGCTATAAACATTCTGAATCATGCTATTATATAAGATGAAAATTGGGGAACAAGATTATTAATGTCATGGGTGATAAGAGCCTTGGGATGAAATGATGAAATGAGAATTTAAGACTTTACCTTGAAGATGTTGAATTATATTTAGTGGCAGTAAGTTAAATCATGCTAAATAGCGTGAATTATGTTGGATTGTGTTGAGATATGTATGGAGAAGTGTATTGAGTTAATGATGTTAATTGCGAATTGATGTGTAATTTGGTATAAAGAGAATTAAACGAGTTAATAACGGACTAAAGTATATGTGACCCGATTTTTATGTTTATTATGTATTGTGTAGGGTCAACTGCAGGGGCGAACCAAGCATCTGAACGCTGTGAGTAGTAGTACTATAGTCGCACGTTCAAGTATTGTTAATTATGACCCTTGCAAGTAATTAAATTAACAATATGTTGATTGGTGAATCTAGAGACATTATTGAGCAGCCCATATGTGGTGATTATGTGGGATGGTATTGACTTTCTGTTGACAATGAATACTAATTTTCTGTTATTTGCAAGATAGCTAGGGTGATTCATGACAAACAAATGGAACATATGAGCATTGTGAAACTATAGTATTCCAGTATCTCTAGAATCACTCAATCGGTAAAATGTGCTTACCTTTCGTTAACAATTGTCAAGAACGTTCTGTTAAACTTAAGTTAACTGCATGAACTCATGTGAATGATGCCATGGTTACCATTAGTACTCTGTTAATTGCGGGTCAACCATGTTAACATATATGAACGATTAAACAAAGGTGTATGTTATTGATTAATGGCTCAAGTGAACCATGCTATTTCTTAATGAATAAAGAGAATTTATGTTCATCTTCGAAGTATCAGAATAATTGGAAAGTTATGTGAATCCATATGAATCTGAAGTTACTTTCTTATGCTACATATGAATTCGAAGTTATTCGGAATCTACGACATGAATGCAAAAGTTTAACATCATTATGTGACCATATAAGAATATGAATTATTCTATTTTGTTAAGCGCACGATAATGACATGATATAACAAGTAATGCTCCATTTTCTGATAAGTTATGTTATGACTTAATGAATGATTATTCATATATGTAAAAGTATGCATGTCATCCTTAGCACAAGGCCCTTACCCGGGGGTAATAATACCGTGGTCTTATGGCCCTTACTCGGGGGTAATAATACTGTGGTTCAAGTATGCTACAAGGTATGTTTTACCACCGACGGTCTTGTACAGGTGGATTATGTTTTGCCATCGACGGTCTTGTACGGATGGTACCACCGACGGTCTTGTACGGGTGGATTATGTTTTGCCATCGACGGTCTTGTACGGATGGTTCCATCGATGGTCTTGTACGGGTGGATTATGTTTTGCCATCGATGGTTTTGTACGGATGGTGCCACCGACGGTTTTGTACGGGTGGGTTATGATCAAGCATGAACTCTGATTTCTATTTCTGATTCGAGTTTAATGAAAAATATGTATGAATATGTTTCTATTTATCCGATCCGTTTATGCTATGGTATAACATGATATGAATTGATCAGTCTTTAAGACCTAATGATTTCTAGTATGAAACAAAGTGCTACACGGAACTAAGTGCTACGACGTGAGTCACCTCTAG